GAAGGACAACCAGGGGATCAGGCCCAGCCAGCATGGTTTCATGAAAGGCAGGTCCTGCTTGATCAACCTGATCTCCTTCTCTGACCAGGTGACCCACTTAGCAGATGAGGGAAGGGCTGTGGAAGTTGTCTGCCTGGACTGTAGTAAGGCCTTTGACACTGTTCCCCACAGCATTCTCCTGGAGAAACTACCTGCCCATGGTTTGGATGGGTGTACTCTTCGCTGGATAAAGAACTGGTTAAATGGTCGAGCGCAGAGAGTGGTGGTGAAAGGAGTTAAATCCAGCTGGTGGCTTGTCATGAATGGTGTCCCCCAGGGCTCAATTTTGGGTCCAGTCTTGTTTAACATGTTTGTCAATGATCTGGATGAGAGGATTGAGTGTTCCCTCAGTAAGTTTGCGGATGACACCAAGCTAGGTGGGAGTGTTGATCTGTTTGAGGGTCGGAAGGCCTTGCAGAGGGATCTGAACAGACTGGAACGATGGGCACGCAGAGAGGGTACTTCAATTTTTAAAAATCTCATTAAAAGTATTTAAATTTTAATAAATATTTACCACATGGTTATCTCTTCAAGAAACCTTTATTGGACTGCACAAGTTGGAAAAATGTTTTTCATTACTTCTTCGTCATCAACATGTTCTCTTCATTTATCACATTTACTTGTGGACATGAGGTCAACATGACCCAGCAATGTGTGCTCACACCTGGAGTCCTGTGTCCAGCTCTGGTGGAGCCCTCAGCACAGGAAAGACATGGACCTGTTGGAGTGGGTCCACAGGAGGGCCACAGAAATGATCCGAGGGATGGAGAACCTCTGCTATGTGGAAAGGCTGAGAGAGTTGGGACTGTTCAACCTGGAGAAGAGGAGGCTTGGGAGAGACCTTCTTGTGGCCTTTCAGTACCTAAGGAAGCTTATAAGATAGATGGGACAGACTTTTTATCAGGGCCTGTTGCGATAGAACAAGGGGTAATGATTTTAAACTAAAAGACAGCAGATTTAGACTGGATATAAAGAAGGCATTTTTTATGATGAGGGTGGTGAAACACTGGAACAGGTTTCCCAGAGAGGCAGTAGATGCCCCATCCCTGGCAACATTCAAGGCCAGGCCCTGAACAACCTGATCTAGTTGAAGATGGCAAGGGGGTTGAACTGGATAATCTTTAAAGGTCCCTTCTAGCCCACACTGTTCTAAGATTCTGGTTCTATGATTCTGTGATTCTACTTGTATCTTTAACCTAAATGACATTTAGTAATTCACTGATGTCTCCCCACACTAATAGGGCTTTTTCTTCTTGGATTCTAATCCTACTTTTTAGTCCTTTCAGAATACTTCGCATTAACTTCGCATTTTTCGACACAGTCTCCCATGATATCCTCCTGGGGAAGCTGAGGAAGTGTGGGCTGGATGAGTGGTCGGTGAAGTGGATTGAGAACTGGCTGAATGGCAGAACTCAGAGGGTTGTCATCAGGGGCGCTGAGTCTAGTTGGAGGCTGGTGACAAGTGGTGTCCCTCAGGGGTCAGTACTGGGCCCAGTCTTGTTTAACTTCTTCATCAACGACCTGGATGAAGAGTTAGAATGTACCCTCAGCAAGTTTGCTGACGACACCAAACTGGGAGGTGTGGTAGATACACCGGAAGGCTGTGCTGCCATTCAGCGTGACCTGGATAGGCTGGGGAGGTGGGCAGAGAGGAACCTGATGAGGTTCAACAAGGGCAAGTGCAGGGTCCTGCACCTGGGGAGGAACAACCTCATGCACCAGTACAGGCTTGGGGTGGACCTGCTGGAGAGCAGCTCTGCGGAGAGGGACCTGGGTGTCCTGGTGGACGACAGGTTAACTATGAGCCAGCAGTGTGCCCTGGCTGCCAAGAAAGCCAATGGGATCCTGGGGTGCATCAAGAAGAGTGTGGCCAGCAGGACGAGGGAGGTTCTCCTTCCCCTCTACACTGCCCTGGTGAGGCCTCATCTGGAGTACTGTGTCCAGTTCTGGGCTCCCCAGTTGAAGAAGGATGAAGAGCTACTGGAGAGAGTCCAGCGGAGGGCTACAAGGATGGTGAGGGGACTGGAGCATCTCCCCTACGAGGAGAGGTTGAGGGAACTGGGCTTGTTCAGCCTGAAGAAGAGAAGGCTGCGAGGGGACCTAATAAATGCTTATAAATATCTGCAGGGTGGGTGTCAGGAGGATGGGGCCAAGCTCTTTTCAGTGGTGCCCAGTGACAGGACAAGGGGCAATGGGCACAAACTGAGGCACAGGAAGTTCCGTCTGAACATGAGGAGGAACTTCTTCTCTCTGAGGGTGACGGAGCACTGGAACAGGCTGCCCAGGGAGGTTGTGGAGTCTCCTTCTCTGGAGATATTCAAGACCCGCCTGGACAAGGTCCTGTGCAGCCTGCTGTAGGTGACCCTGCTTCGGCAGGAGGGTTGGACTAGATGACCCACAGAGGTCCCTTCCAACCCCTACCATTCTGTGATTCTGTGATTGGACTTGATGATCTTAGAGGTCTTTTCCAAGCTGTGATTCTAGAATTCTATGCGTAGGCAGTGAAATGGCAAGTAAAGTTAATTGTAGATCAGTATGAAGTAATGTAAGTAACTATATAGCACCTGCACTCTTTGTGTTAATTAATTACAGTACAGATAACACAATCATGTGAAGTAATAAATGTAAGTTTTGGCTGCACCTTAGTATTTGAAATTTTGGTACTCTAGGTGTATCTGAGAGGTAAACAGAACTGAGAAAGCTTCAAGAAGGGTCAAAAGGATTATCAAGCTGTGGACTATCTCCCACCTGAGAATGGAACTGATCTGTCTAGGACTCTTTAACCTAGAAAAAGTACAGCTGAAGTTGAATATGTGTGGTGGGTTGAAGTTTGTTGACCTCCAGGTGGCCACCAGGCTGCTCTAGCACTCCCCCTTCTCAACAGGACAGAAAAGAAAATATGATGAAAAAAAATCATGAGACAAGATAAAGACAGGGAGATCTCTTGGCAATTACCTTCACTGGAAAACAGGGTGGGCTTAGGGAAATTAATTTAATTTAATACCATATAATAACAGAAGGACAGTGAGAAATAAGAACAAATCTTTAAACGCCTTTCCTCCCACCCCTCCCTTCTTCTCAGGCTCAGCTTCACTACTCACTCTTCTTCCTCCCCCTGAGCAGCACAGGAGCATGAGAAGTGGGGGTTGTGGTCAGATCCTAACGCTTCATCTCAGCTGCTCCTCCCTCCTCATGCTCTTCCCCTTCTCCAGCCTGGGGTCCCTCTCACAGGATAGTCCTTCACAATCTTCTTCAACATTGGTCCTTTCCATGGGCCACAGTTCTTCAAAACCTGTCCCACGTGGGTCCCTTCCACAGAGTGCAGTCCTTCAGGAACAGACTGCTCCAGTGTGGGTCCCCACAGGCCATAGGTCCTGCCAGAATACTGTGCTTCTAGCATCTTTTCACAGAAGCCACCCTTGCAGCTCCCCCATTTGCCAAAACTTTGCCATGTAAACCACATACAGTATGACAGAGGTGTATAAAATCAAGGGTGTGTGGAGAAGGCAGGGGGGAAGATTTACTGAGTACAAGAAACAGAAATGAACTTGTTGGATTCAAACTCAGAACAAATGAAGCGTCATGGGTGATAGAGCTCTGAAGCTCCTTACTAAAATGCGTGGAGGATGCAAAACATTTCCATTGCATTAAGGAGAAACCCACCCAAGTATTTGAAAGATACAGTAGGGTAGCATTCAGCTAATGAACTTCTAAGCTAGAGTCCTAACTTTGAAAGGGAGGGAGGGTTTTGTGGAGAAAGTGTCAAATACTCTGGCCCCTCTTTTTACTCGCCTCTTGGCCACTACTTACAAACTTGGTTGTGGGTGGGACACTGCCTGAATGGATCTTTGCTATGAGTCAGTGCAGACAGTTTTCTGTTATAAGGCTAATGGGAAAGAACAGAGGAACAAGAGTTATGTCCTGAAAAATGTTAGGAAGTACATTGTTATGTCCTGTAAATGGGCTGAAAGCAATATGTACATGCAAAATATTTTATGAATTGTGTAAGTTTATATATAACTTTATAACCTGTTTTTAGGGTTTTTTTAAATAGAATCAATAATTCCCAGAGTAGCTGCCAGTAATGAACGCATTTTTCATAATTTCAGTTAACGTGTTTTCAGTCAGTATTTATATAAGAATCAGTGGAAACGTGAAACTAAGTAATGTGGCCTAATGACAAAATTCGTCCCCAAGTTCAGGATTAGTGCAGGCTGTATCGTTAAGGTGTAAATGGTGCATAAACTTTGTACAAAACTGTCAGTGTTGAGGAATTTAATCCTTACACAAACAAAATTTCTTTCTTTTGTACTTGTACCTTGCTTTTTTTTGTAGTCTGACTTCTACCTAGAGGATCCTTAGATTAAACATTGTAGGATGTGTTATGATACGATACTTTTATATATATATATTTTTTTTTTCCAGAAAAACCATCCAAACCCAGCAGTATAAATATTTTGACTAAAATACAACAAATTACAGAGAATAGGGAGTTCAGAAATGATACTGTGATTAATGGTGACTCTTATGCATGCTCAGATAAGGTGCACATTGTTTGTATGTGTATTTACAAATATTCTCAACTCTAGGATTTGCAAATACAACACTGTTTGTCTCTCTCCTCTTTCCCCCTCCCCCAGGCACAGGAGAAAGTGGCAAGAGTACATTCATTAAACAAATGAGGATTATTCATGGATCAGGTTACACAGAAGAAGACAGGAAAGGCTTCACAAAAGTGGTTTACCAAAATATATTTACTGCCATGCAAGCGATGGTCAGAGCCATGGATACTCTCAAGATACCGTACACATCCAAAGAGAATGAGGTAAGCCAGTACAAAGAAAATTGTAGTTTCGGCCCATGAAATTGGAGTTTGTACACAAATTATTTCAGTTATAACCTTCTACAGGCAGAGCCTTAAAACTCTGTATGCCTTGTGGGGAGTTTGTTGCCCCACATCTGATTCTACAGAACAATGGGGAGTTCGTAATGGAAAGAGGAGCAGGGTGAGCGGGAATGGGGTGGAGATGGCTAGGAAGAAACAATTTTCAAAGTTGAGAGCTAGTAATAAGTACCAAACCCCCCCTGTTTTTTTGGAGTCTAAGTTGTAGAGTTAGACTGTGTGTGCCAGGAATATGCGGACAGAGCCTGGCTTATCAGTAGAGCTCCAGAGTGAGGCATTTTGGGTGTGTTGTAGGAAAACATCAAATCTGCTTGATGCTGGTGTGCTTTGAAACATACCGCCTAGAGTCCTTTTATGGATGGCCATATGGCCTTTACGGTGAGGCCAACGGCGTGCTGGCTTGTGTCAGAAGTAGTGTGGCCAGCAGGAGCAGGGAGGTGATTGTGCCCCTGTACTCAGCACTGGTGAGGCCGCACCTGGAGTATTGTGTTCAGTTTTAGGCCCCTCACTTCAAGAAGAACATTGAGTTGCTGGAGCGTGTCAAGAGAAGGGCAGTGAAGCTGGTGAGGGGTCTAGCAAACAAGTCCCATGAGGAGTGGCTGAGGGAACTGGGATTGTTCGATCTGGAGTAGAGAAGACTGAGCAGGGACCTTATTGCTCTCTACAGCTACCTGAAAGGAGGTTGTAGTGAGGCAGGGGGTGGTCTTGTTTCCCAACTAACTAATGGTAGGATGAGAGGCAGTGGCCTCAAGTTGTGTCAGAGAAGGTTTAGATTGGATATTAGGAAAAATTTCTTTACTGAAAGAGTGGTCAGGCATTGGAACAGGCTGTCCAGGGAAGTGGTTGAGTCACCATCCCTGGAGGTGTTTGAAAAACATGTAGATGTGGCACTTCGGGACATGGTTTAGTAGGCATGGTGGTGTTGGTTTGACAGTTGGACTTGATGATCTTAGAGGTCTTTTACAACCTTAATGATTCCATGATTCTATGGATTTGGTAGCAACCTTTATGTACTTAAATAACTTGAAAATGTGGAATGTCTTCTCCAACCCTTTTTTTAGTTTCAATGTATGTTATTCAATTACATGTTTAGTTTCAGTGCTTATAATTATAGAACTATATATTAAAAAAAGTCTGCTTCAGTTAAATCAGTTACATCTTTTGCATCCATCCATTGCGTCAGTTGTTCCAGTATCATGAAGAATATATAAACAAATTACTGTGTCATATTTAAGTTAAGAGAGATTTCCAGTTGGCTAAATTTTAGTGTTAAGATAGGGAAGAGCATTTAGGAAGTACTGGGGCCGGTGCTGTTTAATATCTTTGTTGGCGACATGGACAGTGGAACTGAGTGCACCCTCAGCAAGTTTGCCAACGACATCAAGCTGTGTGGTGTGGTTGACACGCTGGAGGGAAGGGATGTCATTCAGAGGGACCTAGACACGCTGGAGAAGTGGGCGTGTGTGAACCGCATGAAGTTCGACAAGGCCAAGTGCAAGGTCCTGCAAGTGGGTCGGGGCAATCACAAACACAAGTACAGGCTGGGCTGGGAGTGACTCGAGAGCAGCCCTGAGGAGAAGGACTTGGGAATACTGGTGGATGAGAAGCTCAACATGAGCCAGCAATGTGTGCATGCAGCCCAGAAAGCCAACCGTATCCTGGGCTGCATCAAGAGAAATGTGGGCAGCAGGTCGAGGGAGGTGATTCTGCCCCTTTGCTCCGCTCTTGTGAGACCCCACCTGGAGTGCTGCGTCCAGCTCTGGAGCCCCCAACATAAGAAGGACATGGATGTGTTGGAGCGGATCCAGAAGAGGGCCACGAAGATGATCAGAGGGCTGGAGTACCTCTCCTACGAGGACAGGCTAAGAGAGTTGGGGTGGTTCAGCCTGGAGAAGAGAAGGCTCTGGGGTGACCTTCTAGCAGCCTTCCAGTACCTGAAGGGGGCCTGCAGGGAGGATGGAGAGGGGCTTTTCACAAGGGTGTGTAGTAATAGAACAAAGGGGAATGGCTGTAAACTAAAAGAGGGCAGATTTAGATTAGATATTAGGAAGAAATTCTTCACCATGAGGGTGGTGAGGCACTAGAACAGGTTGCCCAGAGAAGCTGTGGATGCCTCCTCCCTGAAGTGTTCAAGGCCAGGCTGGATGGGGCTCTGAGCAACCTGGTCTCATGGAAGATGTCCCTGCTCATGGCAGGGGGGTTGGAACCAGATGATCTTTAAGGTCCCTTCCAACCCTTACCATTCTAGGATTCTATGATTCTATGAAGTATCAAGACAGAAAAAATTAGAATTTATGGGTTTCTTAACAGAAGTACTATATGAAGGAAATACACTTGTTAGCCTACATTTCATTCAAAAAATATGACTGCGTATGAAAAATATGACAAACAGAATTACGATCAGATTTTTTATTATGTAAATTGGTTTGTGTAATTTATTCTCCTTTAGGATTATAGAGAAGTAGGATAGAAAATGTTTAAAATAAAGAGCTCAGAAATTAAAATTATTTTATTTTTTATCACAAAAGAACAGTTGGTGTCAGAAAAACAGACTTCAGAGAGCTGAATTATTAGGGTAATTCTTTCTTACATAAGAAGAGTATTCTGAGGGTTAATAAGTCATTTTTTGTAAAACGCCTTTAGATGCTTAAGAAGGCAGCAGTTACAGAAACAGCGAATGTGACTGTGAATATACTTCATCCTAATTTGAATGTGTATATTTTGATGAAAAATCATGATAATCAGAATGTATTTGACGAAATACATTTTTACTGCCTCTTACTGAGGTTTATTTTTTTTTTTTTCCTTTTCCTTTTCTTCCCATTAAGAACAAAATACGAAGACTTAATAAACAGCAAAGTTTTTCTTGTTCTGGGCTCGGAGAGCTGAGCTGGATACATTCCCGTAACACACTATTCTGGCTAAATTGTGTGCTTGATGATAGCTGTGCTGCCAGTATCTTCAGATTCAGAAGATTATAATGCTATGTTGTTGGAGGCAGAATATGCTCATGTGCTTCTTTATTAAAGTTAACAAAGTGCTGAGCGATAAAAACACAGTTTGGCAAGCTCAGCTTTGGTGGCATTTAGAAAGCAAAGTCATTTTTGCTTACACACGGAGAAACTCTTGAGGGACAACTTGAAAATAACCACACGTCACTCCAGTCACTTTGCAGGAGACAACTGCATTTTAATCTTTCATTTAGGTGATGAATGCTAATGCAGAACACTATATATCTTGTAATTGCCTTTCATTAAAGGATCTTAAGCTTGTAATGAAAAACAGTTGACAACAACAGTGATAAACAGAGGAGTTGTGATTCTGTTGTCAGAATTGCATTGCAAGGGTGCGTCCAGTGACTGTACAGAAATTGTCCAGTGTACTCCTCCACATTTTAGTATATCCATCTATCCATCTTCTCCGTGGCATGCTGCCTTTTCCCTGAAAAATTTGTTTCCTTCTGACCTTGTTATTCAGTTTTGTTTGTTGGTTTGTTTGTTTTTCTTGTATCCAGTTTGTGCTTTAACCAGGTCAGGTTTTCTTCTCTGTGGGCCCTGGAATTCACTGGCTGCTGAATATCTTCATTTAATGTTTTTGTGCTGGTGAACAGATTGTTCTGCACCAAGTTTCTCTTCCGTGTAAGTGTGACCTGTGAAAATCCATAACTTGTATGTGGACAGAATGTCCAAAAAGGCCTCTTAATCCTCTTAACTTTTGCAAATAGAAGGTGTTGAAAGAGGTTTCTTGTTGCTGTTGTCAACTGCAAGTATTTAAGTAAATGATTTGACTTTCTGTAGATGCTGCATTGAGATGGGAAGGCGTTTTTGCTTTGTATTAGTTTGAAGTTGCTTGGATGAAGTGCTGAACCTGTATAGTCATGCTTGACCTTTAACTTTAACCGAGCCAGCAATTGTTATCCTAATTTCCAGTGGTGTGACATTGGGATACTTTGTCTCATCCTCAGTTTGAAGTTGGAAGGTATCATAGCATGGTTTTGGTATATTTTAAGCATAAATCCTGCAGATGTTTAGGAACCTAATACTTCAAGGAATTATTGTAGTACTATCTAAACCCACAGTTTTGGAATAGATTGCTTGATCAACTTAAAGCCAAAGTGTAGGAAAAGAAAACTTCAAACAGGAGGAGGAAGAAATCAGGTGATGCTGTGGGAAGTGAAAATACAGCATTCCATTTGTAAGTATACATCGATCTTAAAAGGCAGATTTTAAAATATTTCTTAGTCGCTTGACTGTGCCGGTCAGTCACATCTTGCTGGATTACTACTACTGGATGTTTTTTTGCTTTGGTTTGTGGTTCTTTGGGGTTTTTTTCCTTTCTTTTAGTGAAATGCTATGTTTCAGTTCTGTGTATTTTCATTTTGCTTTTGGTCTTTTGCACTATGGGAGACAGTTTAGCTTACCAGAAACGGAGTTAACCTTTCCAATTCTTTCAACTAATTGTAACTGCCTTTCGGATGTTTTAGGAAAAAAAACATGTGAAAAACCCTATAACTGGAGCAGTATCACAAGCAGAAGAGGAGAAAGGAGAAAAAAGAAAGTTTTAAAAAGCATATAAATTTAAGGTTTCTGGCAGAGAAGTGAAGGATGGGAAAAAGACTGTGTGTATGTATTGGATTTTTGAGAAAGTTTGGGCTGGACTGACATTTTTGAATATCTAAACTGAGTTGCAGTTGTGAGAGTGGTGATTTTTAATTTCTTAGGTCTCCTGATCTGCAGGGTAGGTGTGTAGTTTCTTCTTTAGAAGGAACATGGTTTCTCTTAAAATACTAGCAAATGCACCCATACTTTAAATTCAGTTGGTTTTAAGAAAAGTAAATTCTGGTGGATAATGGTTAGAAAAGCTGAAAGTTTTCTGACCAATACTAGGGCCTGTATTTTCATAAATATAAAAGTTTGGCAAGAGGTACACC